CAACATATGATAATGAAGCTATATTCAGTTTAGTCACCCAGGGTTCCAAAATTTTGTTTTGGGCCCTGCTTACAATTCAAATTTTTTTCTGGCTTAGATCACATCTAATTATACTCATTTGTAAAAACCAGATTACCCTCTGATTACTCCAAAAAAAATGAAAAGGATGAAAATGAACTAATACAACAACGCCCTCCCCACTCACCCAGTCCCTGCTGCACGTAGCTGCTGTGAATACCACCCAAATCCCTTTATTAACAGCATGAACTGCCAACCTGGAATTTCTATGGTCCCTGTAGGTGATGTAAAGTACCCATCGCTCCAAGCTCCAAGCTCACTCCCGTAATAAACTACAATCTCATGTTTAGTTTACTAGTTTGTATTGAGATTGTAGTCCATCACAGGAGTGAGCTTGGAGAGGTGGGTACTTTACAACACACACAGGGCACATGGGGAACAAAAATACTCACCCTCCAACTGGAAAGACAGTGCTAGTGTGGAGTCATGTAATGTGACATTATATCTATATGACCAGTAGGCGATTGGAGGAGTCTTCATTTGGAGTTATGGTATTGAAATGATAGTTATGGTCATAGAAAGTATTCCTATTAATATATACTATAGCTCTTCCTTGATGCCCTTTAAGTTTTAATAATATATGTCCTGGTAATCTGTTGTCTACAGCATATCTACTATGGCCTTGACATAGATGTATGTCAGTTTTTCATACATCTTTTGTGTCAGTTTAATTACAGATCTGTCATAGTTTTATTGTAATTGGGGAACCTTTAACATTTTTTTGAGGATAGGGTCTTTTGTCTATTTAAAACTCCTAAATAAAGATTAATATTTGTAAAAATAGAAATGATCTGTGTGATCAAACCAAACTAGGGTGCTCTAATATACATTTTCTGACAATTCCTAGGAATCTAGAAAGCTGTGCCATTTCTTGCTGTATTCTGCACAATCCAGTGAGACCAGCAAGATGATATGTCAATAGAGAATTGCAAGTAGCCAGTCAGCAATTAAAGTGATATTAAAGTAAAAAGAAGCTCCAAAAAATCCCCACCTCTCCAATTCCCAAAACCAGACTCACACAGCAAGCAGGTCCCTGTTGCAGGCTAAAGGTTGCTTTCTTACCTCCAATAACTTCTGGAGTCAAAACAGCCACACTCCATGGGTCCTTTTTGCCTAAAATTAGTTTTTTTATTGAAGATATACACTAAGTCAGCAGATATACACTATCATAGCAATCCCATTTGCAAAATTGTAACTCGTTTCACCACTCTGGTTTAATCATAGAAATAAAGCTATTCCTAGTATGTGTACAACCTATATACAACATTCCGCCTCTCCCAGGTGTATAACAAATTAAGTTTAAACCTGTCCGCTGCTTAATCACGATGCTGCCAACGTGGGTTCACCATGGAGAAACAGGATACTTGAAATAACTATTTGGATCTGACTTTGATTGGATCTGTAGAAGATGGGGCTATACAGGTATGTTCCTATTGGAAACCCATTTCTAATTACTAAGGGCTGACAGTTGCCATCCTGTGCCACAGGCTCTGCAGAGGACTTTATGCACACTCGCATGACAAGACTGACTAGCTGTTTCAGACATTACGAAATACTACCTTGCAGCCCTCTTGAGACACTTGGAATCTAGGTTTACTTTTGTTTCTTATGTAAAAAAGGGCTATTCCGAAGGGACAATTCATTCATATGAAATTGGACTGTACAAAGAGTGAAGATTTCTGTGGAGAATCCTCTGATCTGGAGAAGCTTTTTCTGGAGTGAGTTTATTCTCGTTCGCTCATAAAGAAAACATATGAACAAGTTAGAGTTTTGCACATGGGGATTGCTATGATAGTGTATATCTGCTGACTTATTTCAAAAAAGTCTGATTTGATGTAAAAGGACCCGTGGAGTGCGGCTGTTTGAAGCCAGAGATTAAAGTGAAAAGGTTACCAAGCTATTTCAAATGCTGATTAAATTACTTACAATGGATTGTGCTCCTTGATGTTTAAAAGTTTGAGGTTTCCGCAGAATCAGCTTGTCTTCTGAGCACTGACCCTGATATCCTGTTTTAGGATGGCTCCTTTCCCTTGCAGGGTCCTGTGGAGCCACAAACTCACATGCACAGTAAGACAAGTCACTACCCACCTCCCTACCTTTTCCATTCTCCAAGCTACTTGATGTACAGCTATTGGAGACTGTGCTCTCCCCTGTGATCTTGCACTCAGCAGGAGGATCAAGGAGGCCATGTTGAGAGAGTTGGAGTCAGCTGTTTGGAAAAATTATGACTGTAAGGGTGGCCATACACTTTTTAATTTGTTTTACATTTTTTTTTTCAATTTAACTCATGTGCTGAATGAAAAAAAAAAAAATAGAGCAGATTCCCCCATCAACACTACGAGTTTGTCGATCATGGAATCTCCGCTTCAGTGTCCAAATAGACTGCACTCCAAAGATCTCCAATAATAATCCAAGCTTTATTAAAATCAATAATTAAATATCAATATGTGAATATACACCAACACCGCAACCCCCCAGTACACCGAAATCCTCGAATGCGTTTCCCCGATAGGCTTATTTATAGAGGACATCTATGAATAAGCCTATCGGTGAAAAGCGCTAGGTAATTTCAGTGTACTGGGGGTTTGCGGTGTTGGTGTATATTCACATATTGATATTTCTTCAAGGATTTTAATAAAGCTGGGATTATTATTGGAGATCCTTAGAGTGCAGTCTTTTTGGACACTGAAGCAGTTGGAGGTGTTTGACCAGCACCTTTGGAGGCTCCAGAAAAAGATTGTTGCTGGAGAATCGGAGCGGTGAGATCTCTTTGTGTCTTCAAGGAATCCCCACTGTTTCTTTTGTGTTCTGACAGCTCATTGGCTGCCCGCTCTGTGTGTACAAAGATTTTCCGACCGACTCCTTCGATCAGCTTATCAAGGGATGCCGGCTGAAAGGGTGCTGACAGTGGCCACCCATGGTCCGAATTTCGACTGGTTCCTCAAGAACCGGGCGAAATTTGCACAGTGTATGGCCACCTTATGTCCTTGGGCAAAAATCTAAAGAAGCACTTTGCTGGGCAATGTATATTTGTTTGATCTGGATTAGTTATTGAAAAAAAGTTTGAGAGTTTAATCCTACTTTACCTAAGACATTTTAAAATGTATCTGCTCTGCCCTCCTTATATTATTGTCCCTAAAATGGGTTTTTACTGTAGTTGCATTTGTAGAAATGTCACCAGCACACTAGTATTCAGTGAAAAAGCAAAAGTCCATTTTTTGCAGGAATATTGCCATTCAAAAGCCAGCACTTTTGGGGCCACGCAGGGTCCCCTTCATCAGGCTTTGGCTCGTCATTCTGAGCCTGATGAAGGGGACACTGCATGGCCCCGAAAACACTAGTTTTTGAATGGCAATATTTCTCCAACTATTATTATTATTATTACATAGTATTTATATAGCGCCAACAGTTTGCGCAGCGCTTTACAATATAAGGAAGACATTACAGTTACAATACAATTCAAGACAAGATGGTAAGGAGGGCCCTGCCCCTGAGGGCTTACAATCTGAAAGAGGAGGGGGAAATGATACATGAGGAGGTAGCTGTGGGAATGAATTATTTGAGAATGTGAAGGTTCAGTGGTTAGTAAGTGAACGTTTGCTTTTTCAGTGAATACTGGTGTGCAGGTGACATTTCTACAAATTCAGTTTATTCACGGTGCCCTCCGTGGTCACCACAAGCACCCACATGTCTAATAGGTTATCCTTATCCGGTAAGGAGTGCAACAAGATATCTTTTTACTTCTACTGTAGTTGCCTCTCAATAGGGTCAACATTTCAATACAAGTAGGTAATGTTTGTAAGTGTTCTAGTGAAGCATCCTTTACTGAGAAAATATGGATACAGCCATCACTAACCTTCTTCTGAAACTACCAGTTCCCCAGCTGTCTCTAGCCCTAATACATTCTAAACCATTGATCTGGAATAAGCATGCAACTTGTGAGGTCAGAGAAAAGTCAGAATTCCTTTTATATAATTATTCCAAGCCAGTGACTCTGAAAGTACTGAAGCCTTTGAATCAGTATAACAGGCAGGCAACAAGAATTGTGAAAGCAAAGCTTAGCAATGGCAGCCTATGTATTTTCGTAGTACAGGTTTCCTAAAAAAAACAACACTGAAAATGACAGCCAGAAGAGTGGGGTGACGGTGTAAGGGTGCAAAATGATTTCAGAAGATGTTAATATATTTTTTTCCAACTGATAGTGCGATAAGGAGCAACCCATGTCCATCTGTTTTTTCATTAAGTACAGATAGCCTACTTCCTATAAATAAAACATTAACAGTAGTTAAATCTCTTCTGTATAGACAGGGTAGTATTAATAATCCAAGACCTTCCACCGAATACTACTTTAGCAACGCAAAGCCATCAACACTGTCCTTAACAACCACCCCCCACATCTTTTAAATCCAATGGTGGATTTCCCCTTCATTATACACAGATGACCACACAGGACAACAAAAGTACATCTGGGCACCCACACCAATGCCCCCTCACATCTGGGTGCCCACACTGATGCCCCCCCTTACATATACATATTGTAAACATTGCACTTTGGTGCTACCTTTTCATGCTTTGATGCCCCAGGCACATGTCACCAAATTATTTATGGTAAATAAACACAACCTGTTTATGAGTTCTGTCGATGTAAACAATTAAAGATGAAGTTTTAAAATGTCATCGACTTCTGCAGACTCACTCCACACATGGTATGTAACGTCAAGTTTCAACAATACAAGCAAGAAACAAAGTAAATAACTGTATATTTGTTTTTTTTTTTCCTACCAGAAGGCAGATACAAGCTGGTAGTAATCAATTGCAAATCAGCTTAACATGAATTGGGTGACATGACTGTACTGTTTTTCCTTGTACATATTATAAAATACTGTATGTTTACATAACAGGTCCACTTTAAGGTCAGAAGTTTAGCACAAATTTGTATTTTTTAGACTCGTTTTAGCTTACTTGCCCTAAAAGAAGGTTTTCTGATCGCATGGTTTAGACATACATTTAAGCAAAATGCAGGTTTTTCTCTTAGGGCTGGGTTTCCTTTTTAGTACAGAAAGGAAGAGTATTAAGATGTAAGTAAAAAATTGTCAATATTTGAGGGGAATGGTCCATTGTCCAGTAGTGTATTAAAAAAAGAAAATCGACTTTTTCCATAACTAAAACAGTTTTTATTCCTTAAAATGTCTAAATTATCTCCATTGTCTCACCAAGACTAGGATAAAGGGTGAGAACAGTATAAGATGTGTTTGCCGGTGAGCAGATGCTGCAGAATACTCAAACTCCCGTCTGTCTGGTTCAAATGGTGGAGCTTCTGTGGTAATGTAGTCATTCTCTGTAGGACAAATATCATCAGTACAACCACTGCCACTTCCCGAGCCACTGGTCTCTTCACCTTTAAAAAAGAAAGGGTAAATCGCATTACATGTTATGTCACATCAAAATAATAAGGAGAAAAAAAATACAGTCAAATATGTTAATGCTCTTTAGGCACATATTATTGTTCAGCTTTAGGTTATAAAACCTTTTCTTAGTGCAACTTACAGTTATGGTAGAATGAGGATCAACATGAGGTAGTAAACATGAATAGTTTACTAGTGGCAGGGCCGGCCTTTGGGGTGTTCGAGCTGTGCGGCCGCACAGGGTGCCATGACAACAGGGGCGACAGGAGGCCGACACAGCTTGGCAACGGGTCGCAAGGGAGTAGAGGGGCGGTACAGCCTGCAGCTTCTCCTCGGATCCCCACTGCTCTTCCCCACTTGTATGGGCAGAGGCAGCAGGGGGCCGAGGAGGGAGCTGTCATCCAGGGTGGCCTATAGGTAAGGTGAGAGAGAGCTGCTGGCTGTCAGATCCTGGCTGAGCGGCTCTGTGCAGCTCTGTGCATGGCTGAGTGGGTCAGGATGGGGAGCAGAAGGATTGGTAAATATGTGTAATATTTGCCGATCCCTGTGTGCAGCACAAACACTGGAGTGATTGCTGATCACTCCAATGTTTGTAAACAACTGGGGACGCATATTACTATGAGTCCACAGTTATGAATAAACAGGAAGTGCTTCACACCCCTTCCTGTTCATTCAAGAGTTACTGCATGGGTAGAAGCAGCTCAGAGGCTTCTATCTATTCATAACTGGTTGATAGTAAATATTTACTATCTCCAGTTTGTGAATGAATGGGAAGCCTCTGTGCTGAGTGCTTTCTATTCACTCAAAACAGAGGCTGCAGAAAAAGAGATTGAGAACTTTGTGTCCTTAATTTCTTTTTCTATTTCAAAATGGAAATGTCAGGGCCCCCAAGAGTAGAAAAAAAAAATAATTAAAAATCAACCCCCCCACACATTTATTATTAGACATGCAAAAACAAAAACTTCCTTTTGGACAAAATTAACGAAAACTAAAAATGTTTTCATAAGTTTCGTCAAACGAAATTAATTTTTATGCTATTATGGATACAGGCACCAGCGTGTTCTGTGTATGTGTGCCGCCATCCTGGAGGCGGGGTGCATAACGTCACATGATGCTGTGCTTACACATCTCCCTTTCTGGCTCTTAGCAACCTGGGATGCTCTGGCTACTAATGCAGCCACTTTGCCCCCCCACATGACCTAAAGAAATACAACCTGAGGCAACAGCCTCAGGCTGCCCCACTATAGGGACTGCCCTGGAGAAAGGGCATGATTTACTAAAAGCCATGAGGCTGTTTACTTGTATACAGAAATGATTGCCCCTCCCCTGGATTGGGGGCGGGGCCATTGGGGTCACATGATTGTGCTGCTCAGTCTAAAATGCCCGGGCCTATTTTTTGTCCCAGTCCGGCCCTGGTAGGGGTTGTATGTAAGTCGGATGTTTGTAACTCAGGGACTGCCTGTATTACTAGGTTTTCATACTTTGCAGATTTTAGCATTGTGAGAGTTACCAGTCCCAACTAAAAGATCCATTTTAGATCTTTTTTTTAGGCGCACAAGGGCATATCTTTAAATCTGCAAATACAAAACTACCTATAGATATAGATGAATTCTTCTGTGTAAAATCCTTGACAAGGACAGAATGATAGATCTATTGTCAAATAAAAAAATAGTGACTTACTTGTATCTTGAAAATTAACATCATTTCCATTAAGAGCATTCTTCAGTTTGTTTGTAGCTGTTCGTAGCGCCATTATTTGCTGCCTTACAAATGTGTCCGGCCTTGTGATGTCTACATCCACCTCCGGATTATTGATCTGATTTATCAAGCCATCAGTCATTACTTCAGGGAGATACCTGAAAAGTCAACCCTTAGTTAATTTCATAACAATCACTGAACAGGAAACATAGCTCTGAAACACAAGAGTCAATCTATCTGCTTCATTGGTTCATTACATTGACAACCATTCTGTTCTGTAGCAAAGAGTTCTGGTCACTTTAGCATGACAAGAATATACTTGCATGAGCACTCAGAATGTTTTACATTCAGTACCACAAGCTCTTTATTAAAGGCAATATATGTTTTACAACTGCAATAAAGAGCTTTGCCTAAATGTGGACACCTGCCCATCACATCTACAATATATAGCCAAAAGGTTTGTGGGCACCCCACTAAATGATTGTGTTTGGGTGTTTCCATTGAAGAGTACTGTTAATGCTACAGCAAACAAAGACTTTTATGACAATTGTTTTCTTCCAAACTTTTGGCAACAGTTTCATACACTAATTGTGAGCCAGGTCTACTCCGACCTGTACCTGACCTCTCAAATGCTCTTTTGGCTGAATTGCCACAAATTTGCACAGACATGGTTAAAAATCTTGTGAAATCTCTGTTTTCTCAGGAGAGTAAATAATGTTGGGGGATGGGGGAGGTCAATGTTATATAAATTGCCTATAGTTTTAATGTCCTACAAGCTCATATTATTTAATAGGCTTTTTGTGCTGACCAACTGGAGAATATGCTGGGGAATTTATGGTTTTTCTGTGCTTTTCCTTGCCCTTGTGCACCTTTCTTTTTCCTAATTTTAAACTCAAATATGGAGGCACTGTCATTTTTGCTTTGATGGATTTAGAGCAGAGACACACTGGAGGTTTTCAGCTGCCATTAAGTGAGTCTAGCCTTCTGGTGTGCTGCTATAACTTTAAAGCAAAAGGTATACATCTGCTGCTCCACATTGTAAAGCATTCTGTGATTGAAGGACTAGGGGCGGGGGTGGGCATGTGACGTAATCTCTCCTCCTCCAATCACAGAACGCCTTGTATTCTGTGAGAAAATACAAGGCCATTTGTGAATGGGCAAGTGGTAGGGAGGGTGGGGATGTGACTGGAGCACTTCACTGCTTGATTTGCATCCCTCACTCCTTGCCACAACCAGAAGACCTAGGAGCCAGCATGCTGCAAGGTAAGAATTTTATACTTTGCAGTAACCCTCTACAGATAACATACAGCTTTTAAGGCTTCAAAAGTATTTGCAAATAAATGCAACAAAAACTCTTCATTACACCTAAAATGTTGAAACAGTTCAGTAGGGCTTCTTGTGCTGCGTAGCTGCAGACGGCACTGGTGAATCTATGTATAGTTCTATGTTGTATATAAACATCCAAGGCACCAACCAATTAAAAAAAATAGACAATTAAAAAAAAAGTTAGTTTTGTCCTCCAGGGTTTATTTTCACATCATGCAGGACGTCAAGTACATTAATCTGTATAAGGTTACTTATCATTGTTTAGCTCTCAGCTGCATATCAAGAACAACACAGTTCGATATCATGAATAATTTGCCATCATTGAAATTCTGCTCTGTGAGAATCATCTGATAGATTAAATGTTATAATAACACTTGATAGTATTGATTTATTTTTGCATTGTGCTGGTTTATGATGTTCATCTCCATCTTTAAGGATGGACAGTCCTGTCTCCCAATTATACTCACCAGTGGTTTAAAAAATACAATAATGAGTAAATGATGTTAAGCACTTTATGCACATTTAGTTAATGCTTCAAGCACTTAGTTATGTAAACAGTTTTCAGTTTGAGGCAAAAGTAACATAATGGCAGTTCAGTGTACATGTGTTCAGTGAAAACGGAAAATTGTATCATACTTACCAGTAATTTTCCATGGCAGCATACTTGCGGCCCTGCAGATAGTCTTGATTGAGACCCTGGCCCGTGAGGCCCACGATGTCGCCACAGCTCTTGTCGAATGAGCCCTCACCACCTCCGGTGGCTGCATGCCCGCTGCCCCATATACTCTCCTGATAGTCTTCACAACCCAGGAGGAGATGGTCTTAGTCGCGGCCTCTCTTCCCTTGAATTTACCTCCCGGAACTACAAACAGGTGTTTGAAAACTCGGAATGGATCGCTGAGTACCAGAGCTGTGGCGACCTCGTGGGCCTCACAGGCCAGGGTTCCATTCGAGACCATCTGCAGGGCCGCAAGTATGCTACCATGGAAAGGCACCAGGAAATTAGCTGTATTTACAACTCTATGGTTTATATGTATTGAGATATAAAAGAATACTATAAAAGGATATAAATATGAAACCTACCTAATAGGGCCATATGACAAAATCAAGGCCAATTGTATATAATTCGTAGAATTTGGAACTTTTACAACCAATTAGCAAATTTTTCAAAAAACTCAATGTCAGGGAACCAAGAAACCGGATGGAAACTAAAAGCGCAGGTTAAAAAATAAAGGAGTGTAATGAAAGCGACAATAAACAAAATAGCAAAATAATAGTTAAATCCAAGACTTAGTAAGAGCTGAGTCAGAGGTCAGAAGTCAAAGCAAGTAGTCAGCTGAGCCAAGTCTAGGAATTAAGAGAGCTGGATGAATGAGTACAATAGCCAGAGTCTGAAACCAAGAGATCAGTAGACAGAGCCAGTGTCATACAATGAGCACATGAACTAGCAGAGAGCACTGGGTAGGTCTAAACAAATGCAAGGGTGGAAACCAAGTGAAAAGACTGATGACTGTATAGTGAACTGGAGTCGTGCCATCATTGTGAGACAGGAATTTGTCAGGAGTTTGCCAGTAGTCACAGAATGATGAAGTTTATGGGTTTGACACCTAGGAGCAACAGTCAGTGTTAGAAAAACTGTACAGAAGCTGAACTTGCAGTTCAACTGGACAAGGAAGGGTAAGAAACCCTGACAGTACCCTCCTGTCAATAACCCCTCCACCACGGAAGGACAAAAGGCTAATGGGGAAAGCGAGCATGCAAGGCGGGAAGGAGGGTGGGGGCGTGAACAAGAGAGGAGGGAACCCAAGAACGCTCTTCTGGACTGTAACCTTTCCAGTGTACCAGGATTTGGACCTAATCCCTGCACCAAAGAGAGTCCAGAATGCTTGGTATTAGGGATGCACCGATACCGATACTCATCACCAGGGAGCATGGAGCCGGCTTCCCAGCCAATAAGGAAGCTGGGTGCCCTGTAATGACTTGCTGCTCAGCTTCCTGATTGGTCAGGAAGCCAGGCAGCGAGTCATTACCCACCCCCTGGCTTCCTTAATTGCCAGATATCAGGAAGCGGTGTGGCGAGTCATTACACGCCACCCTTAATGGGACTTCCGGTATCAGTATTTGGTATCGGCGAGTACCGGGGAAAAAATATCGGTACTCGTACTCGATACCAAAAAACTGGTATCTGTGTATCCCTACATTGTATCTCATACTACTCATGGTTGCCAACAAGAATGGGCAAGGATGAGGAGAAGTGGTAGTGTAGCGATTACACACTAGCAGCTTTAGGAGCAAAACGGAGGATATGGAAATACCCAACATAACACGATGTCAATCTCTGTGTAGGAACTCTGAGGTTGAGGTTACGTTACAACAAACGAACCCTCTCCCCAACCTGGTAGGAAGGAGCGGGTAGACGTCTACAGCTGGCCTGGAGCTTTTAACGCTGCATAGAGGCATGAAGGAAATTCTGAATCTGCACCCAAGTGGAGTGGAGTGCCTGAAGATGATCCTCCAAAGCCGGAATGTTCTGAGGCTTGAATAAATTGGGTAACACAGATGGCTGAAACCCATTTCTGGCCATGAATGGAGACATTTGGGAGCACTGTTCCAGGCAAACTCTGCCCAGGGTAGCAGATCAGCCAAATTGTCATGGTGGTCCGAGACATAGCAGAGAGAAAATTGCTCCAGGGCTTGGTTAGATCACTCAGCAGCACCATTATACTACAGATGGTAGGCCGAGGAGAAGGAAAGTCGAATTCTCAAAAGACCCACCAGAACCGAGAGACAAACTGGCTGCCCCAGCCTTAGACTATCTCACTGGCAAACACTGAGGCAAGCTCCTGAGCCAAGGGCAGCTTCTTTAAGGGTATGCAGTGGCACATTTTGGAAAATCGGTCGACAACCATGAGGGTAACAGTTTAAACACCAGACATCAGTGGCGTCGCTACAGGGGGTTTTCACTTGCCCCCCCGTGTGCCCCCCCGCCAGGGATCGGCAAGGTGTCCTTGCAGGGTCCGCCGCGGTCGTACGGAACAGTTGGTACGTCTCAACACCCCCGTCCAATTTGATGTTTTGGTACCTTCCTGCCCACGTGCAGGAAGGGTTTTTTTTACATAGAAAGGTCAACGATAAAATCCATGGCTAGGTGGGGCCAGGGATGTTCACTATTGGGAATAGGTTGTAGTAAACCCACTGAGAGGTGCCGAGGAAATTTGTTTTGGGCACACATAGAACATGCAGGCATGTAAGCAGCAGCAGTTGTGGTAGATTTGCAACAGTTTGATGTGTAAATTCTCGGGTACAAAACATTTATCGGATGGTTTCTCAAGAGGAGCCTTTGGTTGAGTGGCCAGAATCTGCTCTCCCAGGGGAGAGGTTAAATTGGTGCAGATATTTGCCGGGATATGATCTGGAGGAAGAACCGCAGTAGGCACAGAGTCTTCCCTGGACAACTCAGAATATTGGAGAGACAGGGCATCCACTTAACATTTTTTTTGAGCCAGGCAAATATGAAACTACATAACTGAGTCATGTAAGAAACAGAGTCCATCTGGCTTATCGTGGCATGAGCCTCTTGGCCTCTGAGAGGTAAGTTAAGTTTTTATGATCTGTTAGAATAAGAAACCGAACTTTTGTACCCTTAACGAGATGCCTCCACTCTTTGTGCTAAGATTATGGCCAATAGTTCTCTGTCTCCGATCTTGTAATTGCACTCTGCTGGAGACAGCTCCTTGGAAAACAGGAGGGCACCAACTCCTGTCTCAGATTCATCCACCTCAAGGATAAAAGACAAGGCAGGATTGGGGGTGAGACAGGATTGGAGTGGTAGCAAAAGGCCTTTTCAAAAGCATCGAAATCAGGAAGCCCACCTTTGACCTATCGGATGTAAACACATGGGGAAGCATTTTAAAATACATGCCCACTTGTTTAAGGAAGCAATGACATTGACTCAGATCAACTCCATAATGCTGAGGGAGCGGAGCTGAACCGGTTATGGCCTTAATGACTGCTGGTTTAGCTATGCCTGCAGGAACAGTAACATGAGAAGCCACCGACCAAGAAGCACTTAACAAAAGATGGGCAGTGCATGCTAGGAGGGTCTGCAGTGCCAGGGTGAACTGATCCATGCAGCAATCTTGCTGATCCAGCCCAGATACCAACGTGGCTAATGTAGGATTAGCTGCACCATCGGGATTCATGACCTTTGCATAATGTCAGGGAACCAAGAAATGAGATGGAAACTAAAAGTGAAGGTTACAAAATAAAGGAGTTTGATGAAAGTGGCAATAAACAAAATAGCAAAATATTAAGTAAATACAGGGCTGAGCCAGAGGTCAGAAGCCAAAGCGGGTAGTAAGTCAAGCCAAGTCTGGGAATGAAGAGAGCAGGATGAACGAGTACAGTAGCTGGAGTCTGGAACCAGGAGATCAGTAGACAGAGCCAGGATCATACACAGAGCAGAGGAACTAGCAGAGAACACTTGGTAGGTCTGAACAAATGCAAGGGCACAAGCCAAGTGAAAAGACTACTAATTATATAGTGCACTGGAGTTGCATCATCGCTGTGAGATGGGAAGTTGTCAGGTGTTTGCCAGTAGTCGCAGAATGATGAAGTTTACAGGTTTGGTCATAATAGGGCGCCTAGGAGCAAAATTCAGTGTCGTAAACACAGCATAGAAGTTGAATCTGCAGTTCAAATGGACAAGGAAGGTTTTGTTGCTTATGTTTTTTCATGCTTTTAGGCTCTTAGTATCAGTCCCCCTAAAAAAATCCAACTTGCAGATGGACTTTCTGCATACCTCTGTGGTGGCATAGGAGGTGACATGGTCACGCCGTATGCACAGCATGTACAATGTGCTCATGAAAAGAGGAAAATAGGAATTCATCATATGTCACTACATTGCACACCTTCAATTTAATTTCCACCCTTGTAAGTGATTTGCATTTATTGTGGTATTGAAGAGGTGCAGTGGTGATGTATATTTGTGCAGATTTTCATGACTCACATCTTAGGCTTTCCTCATTTTTTTAATGAACTTTTTATTAGGTATGAAGTCTATCAATTCACAATTTTTTCAGGAAATTCATTCAGACACTAGTGTTGGATTGTAATTAGGCTGTTTCTCCCCCTCCCTTTTATTCATTGTAACACAAAAAAATGTAATTTTCTGTTTTCATATAGATCAACTGCATATACCTGCTTCATGTAATGCTAGCATATGTTTTTTTCAAAATACCTCTGCAAAGGTGGAAATGGGCTTTAAGCAATGTCCAGTAATTCTGTTACATTGCCTGCTGGACCAGGTAATGTAAAGTGGGGATCCTGATCTCACTGAGACTCCCAAGCCTATATGCTTCACATGTTTTTCATGAATGGGCTGCTATGGCCACCCCCGTACCACTGATCTCAAGTGTGTCTTAAAGAGTAACTCCACATTTTTCTGTTTTATTTATGCATTATGTCAATCCTGGCCCAGTTATAATAATTTATTGTTATGTAATTTATGATATGAATATGAGGTGTTTCTCCAGCTAAACTCATGGAAATGGAAGGAAGCCGACTGCCCAGCAACATGTAAAGAAAATGTAAACACTGGAAAGAAGTCAAATCCAAAAAAGGATCTAATTAATGATGTCTTTTAGGAGGCAGAAACATAATGAAATATGAATCTAGGTAAATGCCCACTCTATTGGTTGTTCCTCTTTTTATTTGAATTTATGAATAGGAAATATATTAGGGTGTTCAACCTATAGTAATTAGCATCACTATGAAAATAACATTTTGAATGCTTCATTAATATGTCTTATACAGGTACTGTAATGATCAACCTAAAGCTGTGTACCTCTTATGTTATAGTATAGCAGTAGGTGAAAAGTAATGGAAATTTGTCTCTGCAGTAAAGCATTTAAAAATTATTTTTGAGTCTGGGGATCTGAAACCATTATGATCAGTAAATCCCACAAACAATTACTAAATGACCTGTACATTTAGTGTATCCCTTAATAAGATTGCTTTAGTGACTCTGTTACAGTTTCTGTATTTTCTAAGATCATTTAAAAAGAGTTACGGGGCTTTGCTGTGTCCATTCCAGCACTGCTCTTCATTTGATTCTCTTCCTGTTATTCTTTCTTCTTTACAGATAGAGTGAGGAAGGTTTGACCACATTTTCCTTGAAATCTTCAGTCTGTCTTTGACTTCTGTTACCTAAGTGGAAAATAAGACAACTTGTAATGAATGTAAGCATGTGGTTATGTTTATGGCTCTGAAAGTAAAACATGAGATACCATCCTGCCTTAAGAAGTAGCATAAGACAGTAAACTATTGAATGATGGTCATTGTTCTTTTGCATGGCAAAGACCTTGTCCTTGAATATGTCACTGCTGACACCATATTAAAGTCTCCTTCAGTAATTTATGCTTGCTCAACATAAATAATGTATTGCTTAAATGTAATCATGGTTTAAAACAGACTTGGCATAGAGAAAAGTTTGGAAATTAAGGCTGAACTCCAGGAAAACAGCTAAATACACAAATAAAATACATATATGAGAGCTGTTTTACTGAGAGCAGATTCATGGTGCATGGTGTCCCATCCAGCTCACTGACATCACTGGTTGCCGGGAGCTGGATGGTACTCCAGCTGGAGCATCCTGCTCAGCTCCTGGCAACCAGTGTTGGTAAGAGCTAATTGCAACCTGGGAGGCTCTGTCTGAAAAGGGGATGGCAAGCACAACAGCGCCCCCCTACGTGGCCCAGTGAAATGCTTCCTGAGGCAACTGCCTCAGGTCACCTCATTGTAGGGACAGTCCTGCCAGCATGTATTTATAGAAGAACAATTAAAATGGCGTTAAAGATGTACCATTGCCAGTACAAGATGCTTAAATACACCTAGATTAAGTAGAAGGGCCACATGCTAGTCATATGTCTTCACACATCTACAGTCAATAGAAAAGCATTTATAACCTGTCCAAATACCTATACTGTTAAGATGCTTCCGTATCTGACCTTTATTGACCCGTGCATCTAAATGATAGTTACTGTTTTTATCTTGCAAAATTTGGAAGACGCTAGGTGGTTGGAGAGTCGGGATTTGTGTACTGCGGTGAGTTTGAATATCAGTAATCTTGCTGGACATCTGTAGACTGGGAAAGTTACCCTGGAAGTCTGGGACTGTTTAACTGCGATTGCAGCGCTGAGATCTTCAGGTTGGTGAGACTGATCTTTTGTGTTGTTCTGAAGAGTCACTGTCTGAGTTTGCTAGCTGGTCAGTGAAGAGATGGACTGTTGTGTTAATTTGCTGCTGTGAAGCTATTTAAGTTAATAAACTTTACTTTATTTCCAAAGCCTGTGTTCTGCGATCCTGCTGGATTCCCCTAACATTGCAACTGGTGGAGAATGCGGGCACGAGGAGGACTACTTGAACTGCCCAGAGACTTGGGGGAAACTAATCCCTCTCTTCCGGCTGTTGAGGGGGATGAACCTGAACTGCCAGACCCAAATGTTGTTGATGCTGGTACTGATAACGAAACCGATAATTATATGATTGATGGTGACAAAAGTAACAATGGTATGGTTGTGAAGGCCAGAATATATGTTCTCCAGCCCGTGCTGAACAGTGAGGGGGGGGGGAATCTTCTCCTCCCCAGGGGTAATGCTGGGGGAAGATGAGGAGGAAATTGCCCCTACTCCTGCCCTACCGGATTTGGGTGTTCCCCAGGGGGCATTTGGTACTGCCCAGATGCAGGACCCCACTTTTGATCGGGCTCGGGAACAGATTGTAGTGGTAAATGGGGTTCCCCAAGAGCCAGGTGCAAATGAGTGGTGGCCACATTTTGCGGTGTATAATGATTTGCTCTATCGGGTTACTAAAGTAAGAGAAAATGTGGTAGAACAATTGCTGGTATGCCAACAGTACAGACAAAAGGTTCTTGACCTGGCCCATAACGATGTTTTAGGGGGACACCTAGGAATCGAGAAAACGGAAGCACGGATCACCGACCGGTTTTACTGGCCAGGTCTGAAAGCAGAGGTAAAGAAATACTGTGCCTCTTGTCCCACCTGTCAGTTAACCCCTCCAGTGACTCACTTCCGTGGTCCTTTGGTCCCTCTGCCCATAATTGAGATTCCATTTGAACGGATAGCCATGGATATAGTGGGTCCCCTGGTAAAGTCTGCTCGAGGTCATGCCTACATACTGGTGATCCTCGACTATGCCACCCGATATCCTGAAGCCCTGCCCCTGGGGAATACTTCCTCTAAGACTATTGCCCGGGAATTATTCCAGATGTTCACAAGGACCGGGTTCCCTAAAGAGCTGCTGACGGACCAGGGCATTACGTTCATGTCGAGGGTTATGGCAGATGTGTGCAAGCTGTTTCGGATTAAACAGCTGCGCACATCGGTATACCATCCACAGACGGACAGCTTGGTAGAACGCTTTAACAAAACCCTTAAGTCAGTGCTCAAGAGAGTAGTACAAAAGGATGGGAAAGACTGGGACCACCTGTTACCGGCACTCCTGTTTGCTATTCGAGAAGTGCCGCAGGCCTCCACTGGATTCTCACCTTTTGAGTTAGTGTATGGGCGGAACCCCCGTGGGTTGCTTGATCTTGTTAAGGAGGAATGGGAAGGTGAACCCATTCAACATAAGAGTGTTCTTGAATATGTCTCCCAGATGCAAGAAAGGATTGCCAGTGTGATGCCACTGGTTAAGGAACACCTGCAAAAAGCCCAGGAGGCTCAACGGCGGGTCTATAATAGGTCAGCTAAAGTAAGGCTCTTCCAGGTAGGGGATCGGGTGGCGGTGCTGATTCCCACTGTGGAAAGTAAATTATTGGCCAGATGGCAAGGTGCCTTTGAAATTGTGTAAAAAATGGGGGAGGTAAATTATAAAGTCCACCAGCCGGGCAAGAGGAAGCCATACCAGATATATCATATCAACTTGTCAAAGCCCTGGACGGACCGGGAACCGGTAACATCCCTGTCTGGTGCAAGACTTGAGCCTCAGGTTGGTGTGGACAGCGTCTAAGTAGCAACTACCCTATCTAAAGCACAATCTCAGCAAGTAAAGGTGTTCTTGCAGAGAAATAAAGAAACGTTTTAAGACTTGCCAGGTCTAACTAATGTAATAGAGCACGATATAATCACTGAATCAGGGGTCAAAGTTTATGTCCGGCCTTACCGGATACCAGAGGCTCAGAGAAAGGCTGTCTCTGTTGAAGTGAAAAAAATGTTAGATCTTGGAATGATTGAAGAATCGCAGAGTGAGTGGTCGAGCCCGATTGTGTTGGTACCGAAGCCAAATGGAACTCTGCGATTTTGCAATGACTTCCGGAAACTTAATGAAGTTTACAGATTTGATGCCTACCCCATGCCCCGGGTAGATGAGCGTATTGAGAGACTAGGTCCCTCCAGGTATATAACTACATTAGACCTTACCAAGGGGTATTGGCAAATCCCCTTGACTAAGGCTGCCAAAGAGTTATATTTCCTCTCTGTTTGAGCTGTAGTCCCTTTAAGGGACAAAATTTGTTGGAGAGTGGGAATTTGTGTACTGCGGTGAGTTTGAATATCAGTAATCTTGCTGGACATCTGTAGACTGGGAAAGTTACCCTGGAAGTCAGGTACCCAGGAGAGAAAGCAAAGAGAGAAAGCCAGGAGAGAGAGAGAGAGGTGAGGAGACATTCGGGAGAGAGAGTGAGGAGAGACAGTCAAGGGAGAGAGCAAGGAGAGACAGCCAAGATAGACAGCCAAGAGAGACAGCCAGGAGGATGAGCTAGGAGAGACAGCCAGGAGAGAGAGTGAGGAGACAGCCAGGAGTATGAGCAAGGAGAGACAGCCAGAAGAGAGAGCGAGTAGAGACAGAATGGAGAGAGAGCGAGATAAAACAGACAGGAGGATGAGCAAGTAAAGACAGCCAGGGGAGAGACCGAGGACAGACAGCCAAGGGAAAGACCAAGAAAAGACAGCCAAGAGAGACAACCAGGAGGATGAGTGAGGAGAGACAGCCATGAGAGAGAGCGAGTGTAGACAGTCAGCAGGATGAGCGAGTAGAGACAGCCAGCAGGATGAGCAAGGAGAGACAGCCAGGAAAGAGAGCAAGAAGAGACAGCCAGGAGAGAGAGCGAGGAGAGACAGCCAACAGAGAGAGAGAGAGACAGCCAATAGAGAGAGAGAGAAAGAGAGAGAGAGCAGAGGCAGCCAAGAGAGAGAGGAGAGACAACCAGGGGGTGAGTGAGGAAAGATAGCAACCAACACATCTGCCTGAAGCAGAAACCCTGTGCCCTTCAAGGCTTATCTGCATCCTGTGTTCCAGACATCTCCTTGCTCCCTGAGTTCCAGTGTCGCTCCATGTCCCGTGCCCCCGCCATGCGCTCAAGTTGGAACACCAGGACCCCTTGGTTGCCCCTGCACACCTGACATAGTGACATCTTGTGTCCAAGTTTCTGCACATAAAGGATTTAAAACCCGGTCTGTCCGGGTGAATCTCAGACAGGTGGCAACCCTAGCTATGCCCCTGGCTGCTGCAAAAGGTAAGAACCCCCTCTCTGTCCCCAGACCCCCCTGCTTACCTAATGGGGCCCTGGCTCCCAGTTCCCCATATCCACAGCCCTGCCTGCAGGCCAAAAGTAACCTGTCCACAACTAGAATTTTAAAAGGAAAGTAATGGCAGCCCCGTATTGCTCCCAGTACCCAGGATTCATTTTAGCTGACATTTATACTTAAATCATTTTCTCTTCTAAATTGTTGCTGATGTTGCCATGTACATACTTTGCCTAGTTTCCCCATTCATAAAAAATATATTGACAATTAAATATGTCCTGAATTATACATTAATGACCAGAACATTGTCACATATTATTTAGATATGCAATATAGTACTGCCTAATGATGGATGGACAAAATTAATTTCATATGGATTATATAATAACATCATAAAGGTTAATAAATACTATTAGCAATTAGGCTCAGTTAACAAATTCATGCTGGAATCAATAATATACAGTACGGTTGACAATATGAAGCAGCTGTGAGCTTCCGTTATTCCAGTATGTTCTGAAAGTATCAGGTAGTTGATAAAAGGTATGCGCTGAAAGCTACCAGCACAAGTTGTCACAAATGGGAATAATATGACAAGATCACAATTATAAAGACTTCACTTTGACTTCCTGCTGTGGTTTTTTTTTAGTATTTAATGAACCGCTA